CTTTCTGTTCGATTCTTATTTTTGTATAAGGTTCAATCTTTTCTTTCTTTTGATGGTCGTTGTGCGTTGTTTTTTTTTTCTTACTTTAGCAAGACTCGGCATATTGCCAGTAGGTAAAAGCGGAAGTCTGGTTTTGCCCAACGTGTTTTTATTTCTCATTTCATATCAAGACAGAAAAAGTTTGCCTTGTACAATTTCTGATCAAAGTTAAAAGTAGTGCATTGATCTTTGCAAATTAAGACCTTGTTTTGAAACAGTCTAGCCTATCTCCAGCGTATGAAAAATACGTAGCCTATATTTATTAAGGGAATTCCGAAGACAATGCGGAAGTTTACCCCCTTCTAAGAATTGTGTGGTCCTACAGTGGATCAAGTTTGAAGGTGGAAATATCACTGTAAGGATAAAAGCTACCGGTAGTCTTCAGTGACTAAACTACTGCGAGTCTGCGGTTAATTAAATACTTGTAATTAATTGTTAAAAGACAAAACTGGTACATTTCAGGAGTGGATCTAGGGGGAGGGTTTAGGGGGTGCGCACCCCCTGAGATGACCTGCGGTTTTCTAATACAACTGGTATTCTGCGAAAAAAAACTATGTGGTTTATTGGTGTTGAAGTAGAGCAAGAGACGAGTGCACCCCCTCCTAAAATTAATCCTTGATCCGCCCCCTGCATTTTAACTTGAGTTTTTCAAATGAATGTAGCCTGCGAGCAAGCTCTCCATTTGGGGGATATCGTGAAAAGTATACGCGCGAGAGGCACGCGAGAGGAGACGCGACTGCGGGAGGCGGAGGCGGGGAAGAGAAAGGCTTTCGCCGGCCCCTCGCGGCTTCGCCGCTCGCTCGCGCGTTCGCGCGCGGCTCGCTTCGCTCGCCCAAATAGGAGAGCTTGCTCGCAGGCTAAAATGAATGTCGCTTGGTTTAGCTTGATGTGGAGACCGCATGTGTCGACAAAAACGAAGGGCGCTGAAGATTGCAAAGAGTTTTTACTGACACAACCAACTAAACGACGTTAAGCATGTTACTGCAGCGTCTACTTGTACTTCTTCTTGTATTGTATCTCACATCAATCTAACCTAATGCTAATGAGGAAATAACTTTTGACAGCGTAACATTCTGAAACCGTGTTTATCATACATAAATATGGCCCCAAGTGTCTCGATTCAGACCTGTTTCTGAAAACTAGTGGTTGTTCAAATGCCTATAAGGAGTAAGGTTAAAAAAACATTCGGACCTGTGTCTGATAAATAGTGGTATCTACTGTACATGTTGACTTGGGAGAGAACCTTGCAGGAATCGGTAACGATGAAAACTTTGCTATTCCTTTTTGGAAAGGTATGAAACACAATGTGAGCCAGCTATTTGTTCTGAAGAGCTTCTTGGTGTAACAAACCAAGCTGGTACAACTGTGAAGGGCAAATACTTTGAAAACTGGTACGTCATTTGCACCAGTGAACAAACCCATTTCCCGACAAAGATATGTGACCACGCAACAAACAAGAAACCTGTTTTGGAAGGGATCACGCACTGAGAAGGAAAAGGAAGAAAAAGTAAGAAAACAGAGATATACAATGACATTTCCAACTAAAGACGAAGTCAACTTTAATTTGCTCTCCGGTTTGAAACTTTTGACCCGTCGGCACTATGGCAAAGAGTCAAGCTGCAATTCTAAAAATATCCTGGAAGGCTACGCCTGTACAAAGACCGGTTATCGTTTGCCGAAATGTCCCCACCTTTTGATATAACCAGGTTCACATAGTCGTGGGTGGAGCCATGGGGGATGTATCTTCTGCGTCAAGCGACTCAATCTTTCCTCTTCATCATTTCCTTTTAGATCGTATTTATGGGAAATGGCTTCGCAAGTTCAACAAGAACGCTTCGGTTCTTTCAACCGACAATTCACCCATCAGACACAACAAAGATGACGTCATTGCACCACTTTATCCTGTGTATACTCATCAACAGATGTTTAAGAAGTCTTTCGAGTTCGGTTATGACTACGACGATGTCGACGAGAATGGTAAGTACACATAAAGGTTCTACATGACCTTCCTTTACTTCTTCCTTTACCTTGAATGCGATTTAGTGTAATTGTAGAGAAGCCTTTAAAGGTAAAATAAATTTTATGTCACTCGAACCCCGCTGTACGGACACCTATCGTTAATTGCGGACACTTCTTTGTTCCCGGGGAAAGCCATTTCTCTCTTAGATTCAATCCTTTCGGAGTTCAAATGGCCCCAAAAGAAACTGAAAACAACGCTTCTGCAAAACTTTGGGGTGACAAACAAAGAGCATTATGGATATGTTTGGCATTTTCTGTGGTGGTCAATGGTCGTTATTGTGAAAAACCGACACCTTCGTCTTTCCAGTCGACAAATATAAATTTCTCCTAATTATATTAGGAGGGCGAAACCAACATTGAACATGCAGCTTAATCATCTGAGCTTACTCTTCTGTTTTCACTGGATTTTACTTTTACTATCATCATCATCATCATCAATATC